TAGGTTGCAGAGGAAAGAATTTTTAGGCAGCCCCTCTTGGAATCAGGAAAACAAGAAATAAAGCAATCAGAACAACACCAGAAAAAGAAAAAATATTTACAACAGGGAGAGCAGCAACAACGACAAAAATGTAGCAGTAGTATCACTGTCAATGCAATTGACAAATATGATGTCAAAATCATAGACTCACTGACTTCGGCCAACTTGGGCAAGTCAATCCTAGAATATATACCATTATAGATATTAGTGATAGACAGTCAAAAAATGACAAACAGCTATGGTTATCATCAGTTGACAAGATTATATCCACAGATTCAATGTCCGAAGGCTGATGAATTACAATAAATTCCACAACTTTCTAGCCAGTGACACCAGAGAAATCAGAGTTTTATGTAACTAAGCTAACGCAGCACACTAATCGAAAAGCGCATCAGGGTTACTGATTATTGTAGTGAATAATTTGTTTTTCACTTATTATACATACAAGATATAACGATTTATATTTTTGTAATTGTGTGTAATCATCTAGAATAAATTTTCATTTCCACATTTGAGAATTTCCGAAGAGTGACTCATAGTTTCTTACAAAAGTGGCGGTGGCTTTATGGGCAGTTTTGCTCGTGACAAAATTCGCTTTGACAGGAAAATAAATTGCTTAGGGAATAAAAAAGTAAATGCTGTAAATTACAATGAATTTGCTTTGGAGTTTGAAGTTCTGTAACTGTGACTAGGGTCGGAAAGGTGAATTGGATACTGCCAACCACGTCTCGTAAACCGTTAATTCCCAGCTCTTGCTGCACTCGGGCTCACGCTGTTCCTCAAAGCTTCTCAGAAACGCTTAGTACGAACGGACGCAAAAACCAAAACACCGATTGGCTACTCGAGAATTCTTTATTGTAACACCAACATACAGTCAATGTACAACTAAGCTTTATGACTAAGTTCTATGAACAAATATTACAATAATAATTCACACTATTACTTCTGACGGTTGTCTCCTGACTTCTTTATGAACAGCGACCGATGAGAGGATGCCTCCGCGAAAATTGGGGAAGTTGGTTTTGAACAAACAACAATGAATTGATCGTTCAATCTTCAACTACATTGACAGATACTATTGTATATGTTGTGAAACTTGTGGTGAATAGTTGTATTTACTGACTTTATATTACAAACCGAACCTGATGGCTTGACGGAGTAAAAGGTGGGAAACACCATCCATCTCAGATAACGGCTGCACTAGTGTGTGCAGAGTTTCACTCGAATAAGTTACACAATTCAGACAAATTGTTCCGTAGTCTAGCTGGGACTCTGACTAATAGCACAAATTCTCAGTGATGCAATGCTACTCGCGTAATCCGCCTTATACTTTTGTTCATAATGCGGAAAGGTATGAAAGTTGTTCGCGGTTGACAAGTATTTATGAAAGGTTTCATTGGAGGTGACTAATATAGAGGTTGTTCTGGGCACTTGACTTCGTGGTGTGAAATCCGGTTGTGGTAGAAAGCAGAAGTTACGATTTGCAACACCCCGGTCAAATCACTTTGCAAGTATTGAACGTGATGAACTTCCACACGTTGCCTGTTGTGATAGCGAACCTGTCGTCATGATCACATCAAAGAACAGCTTATTGGGCCCAACCATTTTGTAAATTGAGACGGCATGGACAGAATTTTTACGATACTCAGCCGTAGGATAAAACAAAGACAAGTAGGCATTTTGTGAAAATAATTAGGATTACGTAGTGACAGCATTAGTCAAATGTAGACTTCAGAATGTGAGATATGATCGATTTGTTTTCAGAACATTGGATAAGTGCCCAAAACCTACTTTAGCAATCGTTCCATAATTTGCATGTGACCTCAAATATTTCATCAAAAATAGCGCTGTAGTGGGAAGTCACTTTTGTGGCTTTTAGTCGTAAGTTTCATCTGCAAAGCGCTAGGGCTTTTCCAAGAGTCTTATTCCCATAGTCGTTATCGACACAGGTACCTTAGTACACCTCCAGGCTGTGATTTTTTCGTTTATGATTTATAACTAAGGTATTCCCGTTTTCCTAGGCAAATGTTTATGAGGCGAAAATATTCATCCACTGCTTATTAACTGGATCAACAGACAGAATAGATATATTAGGTTGGTGTGTGCCTATGCAATAACGACAACATCGTATGAAGATTTCAAACAAATAGATAGTAGCAAAAGGTGAGTTATGAAATGTAAATTCCAGAAGCGTGAACCAACAATCTCGATGGAAGCAAGAGTTTCGACATCACAATGATATAAAAAGTTATGTCAAAATAATCCAGATATTACAAGAGAAAAACACACACCAGAAGAAGGAGATAATAGCATTCAAATAAATTTGCATACAAGACATAAACTCTCGACAAAATTAAGAGGAATCGCTGAGATATCGACATTAAACTTCTAGGTGATACATCCGCCTGCCTCTTACGCTTCTATTTTCATATACTCTGCAGTTATTATCTTCATCTGCTTTTAAAATATCTGAAAGTAGATGAAGTTCTTTCAATTTTTTCAGTGTTTCAAGCTCTTAACCTATTGCTCATTCAGATTTTTAGGCATTTTAATTTAAGTTGATGTACCACAAACCGTGAACCCATGCAATTTCGAGCGGTTTTCTCTTCCCTTATTTTAGTAGGGTATTCTATCTCCTTAGTTAATTCCTAGTTTTGTTTGCTGCTACCAGTTCAAATGATTATTCGATCAGATATAGTCTGAAAAATGGTAGATAACAGTGTTCTTATACAAACACTTGAAGATTTATAAACTACACTTAGTCTTCAACGAGTCACTTCTGTGAAGATGAAATCGGGGTTGAAGTTACGTAAGCTTTCAACCAAACTGTAGGAGACAGACATTTAACAAACTGAACGGAAGCCTAAGATGATGCAAGGCTGTACGTGTAGTTTATGCTTCGATTAAATAGCCTATTTAACGACAAAAGACCTAATAAATTTGACGTGTTCGTATGAGTGGGATTTGTAGGTACTGTGGATATTTTGAATAGTCTTTTCTTAGTGGTGGATGGTTTAGTTGTTCAGAAAATACAACTTTATCAAAATTCAAAATATGTTTTCAGCGCCTCGTAACTTTATTCGGCTTTGTGACAAGGTGAATTGCTAGGGACATAGCAAAATATATTTCAGTGTGTTAATGGGATGTGTAGCATCTTTGTTGCTATAGATAATAAACTACATCACCTGCTCTCAGCCACCTCAATTACTCCCTTCATAGATATGTAGTGTTTCTGCCTGACCATTAGCACCAGCCATTCGGCCTACAACAGTGCAGTATCATCATTAGTTTGTCCGATATAAACGACAATGTAAACTCAGTATGCCACGTTCTGTATCACATATGTGGATTATTTTCTAAAGAGTATCGAAATTCGCACTGATTTAAATGATTACATGACAAACTCTTCATGGTAAGTAATCAATATTACTCATTATGAATCTGGTTTACTTTGGCGTAAAATGATCAGAATGACTCGGCATGGTAAATAAAGAAAAGGTAACGGCTCAAAGTACTTCATTTGTACTATTACCAACACACTGATTCAAAATCAAACACGATTGATTCAACCCTTGTACAGCCAGGTATTAACTCAGAGATACCTGAGATAAGTACGTCTGTCCACCAGTCTAAATTCCTCAACATCATCTAAGGTATATATCACCAACCCATTTCATTTCCCCCAGCTTTTATTTATCTGCCTGGTGTTCTTCACAGAACGCTGCTCATTGATTCTCAGGCTATGTCTTGCTCAAATGCATAGATTGTTCTACGTAAATTTATAACACCGGACGGAAATGACTTAAAGGCGATTGCGACACGCCCTCTTTTCATAAGTTGCATCACAAAGTGTCTATTTCTTACCTATTTGCCAGCAGGTTATGTAGCCGTATTCTAATTGTTTCTATTTCCTTTGGTTTCCTACGAGGTCAAAGATTTTCCGTGAGCATCTGTAGTAAAATGAAACCTTCATCCACAAAGTAGAATCGTTGAATTCACCATTATAAAAACATAGAAAAACTAGGTGTTCAGTGCTTTGTTCAGGAGCTTGTTGTTTGATCGGGCCACTGGAGTTCACATTACTATTGGCGGCAAACTAGGTAAGGTTGCTTCTTCTCATTGTTGGACTACCAGGTATTAGAAGTGGTTAGTATCTTGAGTACATGTGCTAATTTTCTAGTTTTACGCTAAATAACATTGTTTTTGATGCATAAAACACGTGTTGTGATTATAAAGAGAATTAAGCGTGCCCGCATGACATGTTCAAAGTCTTGTTTGTGAGAGATTAATTACTGTTCTCGTAGAACCTTTCATCACCCGTATATTAACTCCTCATTGATGAATATATGGAGCTGAGACCTTGTCTTTGTATGCCGAAAGGCCATACTGCTAACTCCATACATAGGAATACGAATCCGACTTTGTAGAAAGCAGTTAATGGGAGGCGTCGCAAAACAGTACCGACAGCGATTTGGTTTGCACGTTATCTAAATTAAACAGCCTATTTTTTGGAGTCCTCATCCAGGGATTTTTGCTTAACTTTGTATGTAGGGATCAGGAATAAATTAAACGTTGGCCACGGTCAGTCTTAACTCACATTTCGCTTTGCAGTAATAATCCGGCATATCATTTCATGCTTCTCCACACCCATTTGGTTCAAAAGATGGGGCAGTAGTTAGATGATCAGTCATATATGTTTGGGCAAATCTGTACAGGTTCACTTACTCATCGTTTTCCACTAGCAGTTTCCGGATAATATAAGATGGTGCGATGTTTTTATGCATTTTTATCTTCCTGAGTCGCCATTCTCTTACACCAAGTTTACTGACTTTCCTATGACAAAATTGGTGTTAATTATTTCACAGAAAACTGGAAAGTATTGCTCTTTACGCGGGATTAATTTTTAGGGTTAATCCCTTGCCGAGTGCCAGCTAGTTTTTTGTAACTTATTTTGTACAAACTTTGTTTTGGTTTCGATTAACTCGATAGGCCTGATCGCATAATGGATCATCTGTCCAAAATGGCACTTATCTAACTTCCTAAGCAGTTAATCGTCAGCTTGCAGATTCTATTATTGTCACGATAATGGTTGTTCAATTTGTTTGTTATTCGCCTTACCAGCAGCTAACAGTTTGAGATGCACAGTTTTATTACTTGACTCAGGAGGTTCGCTCGTCTCATAGCAATAAACTTACTGAATCATATATAATGCTTGAAAAGATAAGTTTCCTCCAGCGCACCGTAAGTGGTTGCTCTTTTCAGTTCATTAATGTAACTTTGGTGTAGTAGTGTAACTAGATATTGAGATTAACGCGAATTTTGAGTGACAGCAGTACCCTCTTTCATAGTAGCTAGTGGCCATACGTAGGTTTATTACTTAAAGTGCCATCAAATTTAGTTCCTTACTGGCTAGCTTCAAATTAAGGCATGTAAGAATTGTTTTCCAGCACTTGACAAACCTTCCGGCCATTAACCCATGTAGGCTCACACTGTTCTATCTCAGCTCCACAGCTCTTAATGATTACCAAACTTTTGATTTTTACCAAGTTTATGGTAAATTTTTGCTTGACTTGGTTTTTTTCTCTAGTAAAATGACTGGTGTTCTAAATAATGTGTCCCATATTGGTAATGGGACTCCGAATGCTTCTATCAAAGTGGAGGCGGAAGAAGACATCCCTTTGCCTGAAAAGTTAAAACGGAGTAGAGTGCAAGACTCATCGAGTGACGACGACATTCCATTATCAGACAAGTAAAGCATGTTTATTAACTAATCATTGTTATAGGTTATTCCGAGTGTCAAAAAAACCGAAATTGGAGCCGCCAGTTTCATCACAGGTAACCGTGTTTTTATTATTTTTAGACAGTTGCAGTCCCGCACCAGAGGTCATGAGGAACACCGAAAAGATGTAAAACCAGCAAATCAAAAAACAAAGAAGGAAGCCTCATCCCCTTCAAAGGGTAAAAAGCAAGAGAAGCCTGAAGAGGAAGTATGGAGGTGGTGGGAAGAGCAGAAAAAAGATGACGGTGTTAAGTGGAGATTCCTAGAACACAAGGGTCCTCTATTTGCCCCTCCATATGAACGTTTGCCTAGCTCTGTGCATTTTCATTATGATTCTAAACCTATGAGGTTATCAGACCACGCGGAAGAAGTTGCAGGGTTTTATGCACGTATGCTAGACCATGAGTACACCACGAAAGATGTATTCAATCACAACTTCTTCCGGGATTGGGTAAAAGTAAGTTAGCTGTATGTTATACCTAATTCCGTTCTACAGACAATGAATGAAGAGGAACGTCGGACTATTAAGTCTCTGAGCAAGTGCGATTTCCGAGAAATGCACCAATATTTTCTCAAACTAAGTGAAGAAAGAAAAAACCGGTCCAAGGAAGAAAAACAAAAAGCTAAGGAAGAAAATTTACAAATTCAGAACGAATACGGCTACTGCATATTAGACGGTCACAAACAAAGAATTGGGAATTTTCGCATTGAACCACCAGGTTTATTTCGAGGACGTGGTAATCATCCCAAGATGGGCATGCTTAAAAAACGCATTATGCCAGAAGATGTTATTATTAACTGTTCAAAAGACTCAAAGGTCCCAGCTCCTCCAAAAGGTCACAGGTGGAAGGAAGTTAGACATGATAACACAGTCACGTGGCTAGCATGCTGGACTGAAAACATCCAAAATAGCTTTAAATATGTTATGCTTAACCCATCCTCTCGCTTAAAGGTTGGTCATTTATTAACCTTAGTTTATTTCCTAGGGTGAAAAAGACTGGAAGAAATATGAAACTGCCCGTTGCCTGCACAAAATCATTGACAAAATCAGAGCAGATTATAGGGCTGATTTCAAACACAAGGAAATGAGAATACGACAAAGAGCGGTGGCACTATATTTTATTGATAAGGCAAGTAGTATTTCATTAGCTTCATTCCTGAAATATATTTATGAATTCTTTTGCTTGTTTCGCATGTGATTAGTCCAGTCTCTATATGGAATTTTAACTGGGAAATGTCTTAGGAATTCAGTCATTTAAAACGGTATTGAAAGTGTTAAGTTGCTCATATTTTCGTCACCCTGATACCAAACCCTTCGCTTATCCAAGTTTTTATGATTATCCACTTTGTAGTCAAATTCGCAGTTGTATACACGTAGAAATTTCTGTTCACTTATGGAGGACATCGTGGCAACTCGAACTGCTGCACTTCGGTGCCAAGTTCTATGTTGAATCCAGACAGGAGGACATATAGTTTTGTAGTATTCTGGTAAACATCATTGGAGTTTTATAAGTCAAGTGGAATCGATCTGTAAATAAATTAGTATCTACTATGGCAATATCTTTCGACCAAAAAACATCGGTCAAGAATGGGTAGACTTCAGTTTTCCTCTCGAAGTGCTCTCATGTTGTCACGCGTTCATAGACTCTACCAGATGAGTCTGATTCACTGCCTGCACATGGCAAGGGTATTCCTCACAGAAGCGAAAGGGTGAATACACATGTCTGGTGCTTACAACCGGACTGGTGGACATGCTGGTCTATCAACGAGAGCTAGGAAACTCTGATTTCAAACATCTGGTATATATGGACTCCAGAATCCGAACAGATCGAATGGCGTATGGACTTGTTTTGGTCACCGGCAAACAGAGGAACGCTGTTCCATTGCCTTATGGATCAGACCAAATAAAAGGCTTAGGGTGTGGTCCCTCGAGACAACCACCTGTTTTGGCCTGGTTGCCTAGGCAGTATCCCGACCCTCGCACAAACTATGAGATTTAGTGTGATGCTTCCCTTTATGCTCATAATGTATCAGGTATGTTGTTTTAATAATAAACGTTAATAGAGGAAAAACGTGTTTGAAATCAAAGCTTTAGGAGTAAATACCTTATCATGGCATCTCGTCATCCGCACTTGAGTTATAACTAGAAACTAATGAGGACAAGGCACCAAAACTCTCATGACTATTGAAAAGTAGTTGACAGCTTTGAAAACTGTCCTTTATTGGTTTCGAGGTTCAGATTTTAACCGACGTCACTGATTCATGCTAATCCGCACATTCAGAAATGCTAGGCGGTATAATTACCCTAAATGATTAAAAGGTAAACTTGTTATCACCCTACTGCTTTTTTTCTTGTAAATTTAGTTGGCTCTTCGTGCTGGTAACGAGAAAGACGAAGACGAAGCAGATACCGTGGGTTGTTGCTCACTTCGTTATGAGCATATTAAACTACATGAAGAGTACAATGGTCAGCCTTATGTGGTGGAATTCGACTTCCTGGGTAAAGATTCAATTCGCTATCAAAATGCCGTTTCCGTTCCTAAACGTGTTTTCAAGAATGTCAAGTTGTTCCTGAAAAACAAGAAAGAAAATGACGATTTATTTGATCGACTTAATGTAGGTATTCACATATTTTCACAATAATCCGGAAACTTTTATAGACAACAGTTCTAAATCAGTACTTACGGGAACTTATGGAAGGTTTGACTGCCAAAGTTTTCCGTACATACAACGCAAGTCGGACTCTGGAAGAACAGTTGGAAAAGCTTACAAATCCTGACGATCCTCCTCATGCTAAGCTTCTTGCGTACAATCGAGCCAATCGAGCGGTTGCTGTCCTATGTAATCATCAACGTTCAGTCCCAAAATCCTTCGCCAAATCTATGGAAAATTTACAGAAGAAGGTAGTGTGATATATTTTGATGGCATATTAAAATAGCTTCAAATTCCTTAGAATAGAAAATTAACCTTCGTCTCTTCATCTCATTTTTATCCATATTCGTGAAGTGTTCCAAATGTACCCATCTTTCAAATGGTTACCATATTTAGTGTGAGCTACTGTTCTGATCTTTTGCCGAATTGTGGGGATAACTGTTTAGATTCCTAGCTTGCTACACTAGAAATTTTCATAGTTTCCTAGTGACTAATGGAGTTAGTTTCTTCAGTATTCGTTGGCAAATACCAACTCCACAACCTTGAACAACTGCGAACTGCAGTGCTCAGGAAGAAGGAAGCACAAATCTTTTGAAAATTTCCAATATCTTTGTTTTGAAATCAGTCCCAGTTTGAGTGAACGTTAGAATTCAAAACATCCAAGATTTACCGTTTCAAGTATCTCAGCAAATTTTTTGAAAACCTACACTGCATTGCCAAAAGAGTAGCTTTAATTGTATATACGCCGATTTTTAATTTAGTTGTATTCTAATTTGAAACAACTTTGATCTATTTAATTACTCCTAGAGAAGTCTTTAGAATATGGTTCCATTATAATACATCTGGATGTACAGAATAGTACATGAACAGTTGTCGCGTTTTAAGAATTTCATATACGCGCTTACAGCTGTAACATTCGCGACTGGCTGCATCAGTGCTTGTATCGTGCATTTTCCCACTAATAAATTAGATCACTGGTTTCCATATCTAAGCTCATTTGAATTTTGAAAACCAGATATTCATATTTCATTAATGAATTAAAACACTAATGAGACCTCCTGTGAAGTATCTCTGAAGATTTTCTAACAGACTAGCACACTAGCCACCTTATTTGCTAGCACCAAAGGCATTTAACAAGTATATTATGACGCATATGAGTAAATGAATGAATTATTACCGTAGAACCTTACGTGGAATTTCGTCAGTGTGCACCTCACCACTCCAGAAAAGCACATAAAAGCTGAGACTGGAGATATAATGAGACCATAGTAACAAAAAAACTACGGAAGATCATGAATCCTCTTATTTTTGCTCTTCTATATTATGGTTTCGGAAGGTCACAACACAAAGTTATCTGGTTACCAAAAAGTGTGTCTTGCTTTCATGAACTATGAACGACACTCAATTATACACCACTCTGTATTGCATTTGTTTTATTGTTATGCATATCACTTCCTAGATCGACGCGAAACGTGAGCAAATTTCAGAAATAACCATGGAAGCTAAGCAAATCAAGGCAGATTACAAAAACCACAAACAGGCATCGAAAAAGGCAGCTTATGAAAAGTTAAAAAAACGCCTCGCATCTGCCAAAGAAGCATTATCAAAATTACAGTTGCAGGCTACTGATAGAGATGAAAATAAAGAAATCGCACTCAGTACAAGTAAACTAAACTATCTGGATCCTCGAATTTCAGTTGCTTGGTAAGACAATCGTGAGAATAACTTAATTCATACTAGTTTCCCTAATAATCAGTTAGTATGAACGTTTCTAACACTTGTTTCCCACGTTTGGCATATGCATTAAATGATTGTAACAGTTCTTAAGAGGTTCTGTCTCATTCCAACCCCACTGTATCTTTCTCAACTTTTGCAGTTGGATGATTATTGAACGACTTACTCAGCCTAGTACTATTAGATCACAATCCGATTAATATGAGGAAAATCAAATAATGTATTCAGTGTTAGCGGTTTTTAGCCATAACATTGAGTGTATCCAGTCATTTATTTTTAGCATCCTTTGGTCTTCATATGGTTCATATCGATTGGTCTCATGTTTTAGTCTTACCACACATGGCTGTTTGTGAACCTTATACAACTTCAATCCTCGAGAATGACAGTAACTCAACAGTGCGTTACATGTGTCGAAGTCACATCGGTGGACAAGAGTTCAAAACACCAGTTAATTCGTCTTTCTCACCTGCCGCGGGCTATTAATCTACAACACATGGTTAGAAACCTACTAGCATTTCATACCTTCCACTTTCAGTGGTCAAATCTCTCATCCGTGCAGTTGGATAAAGTATACTGCGAAACTCATTCTTTATTTGACATAGGGGTTTCATTCTGACAGCAAAGATGTAGGCCATTGGCTAATGCCAACTAGGGAACTTTTGTATCCAAGCTTATAGGCCGTTAGGAGCATAGCATTGCGACTGATACAATTTTGCATATAAGTGATACAGCCAATGCATTCAACCATTTTACTTCGTTGTCGTTAAACTAGGATTTAGTGATCATCACTTTACACCTTTAAAGGGTTTTGAGATCATTTTGTGGGAACACCAGACTTTTTGGCTTCAAGCAAGGTATCAGGCTTCCAGCTTTTGAATAATTGGAGGTAGTATTTGATTTCTTTCTTTGTTTCATTATTTCGAAAGGTGCAAAAAATATAACGTTCCTGTTGAAAAAATATTTAACAGAACTCAGAGAGAAAAATTCCAGTGGGCAATCGACATGGCAACAGCTGAATACAAGTTTTTAGATGTGGATTCAGACAGAAACACAAATAAACTAAAAGCTGTAGAAACTGACGATGAAGATATGATTGATGATGAAGACTAAGTAAAGAAGACACTCAGGAAGTGTTTCCTAAACAAGTCTCGTCCGAAAGCATAGTTTATGTCTGTCGTTTTAAAGTTGAAAATTGGTTCCTCTACTCTTTGAGTAATGCTTATGTGTATCTTTGTCAAATCATGAAGTCCATTGTAATTTTCTCCTCAAGGGCGTAATGCCTATTTATGTCATCTTCCTGAAAAATATTTTCAGTCCTCTTTATGTACTAAGTTATCTCTTCGAACATATTATGACGTATGTCGTATGGGTGACAAATGAAATTAAACACAACTGCTTTTTCAAGAAGCTTAAAAACTAGGAATATTACATTTTTATGCCCAACAACAAAACCTTTGATATGAATAATAATGTTTATGTGCATTATTATGTGACTTCAGAGCTCTTTCTTTATTTTTTTTCCCGACGTAGTTATTTATTGTCTTTTCACATGCTCATAACTTCTATTGTCCCCTCCGAGGATAATTATCCTATCATAGGTTTATATTATCCTTATAGTATGTCTTGTTTTTGATTCCCCTATCTTATTTTAATTTGAATGACTTTATGTTCAATGACGTATTACTTCAATTATTTGTTTTACTGTTTTTCTTTGTTTTGTTTTTGATCCTTGATTTTTCTTGATATCTTGGTGTTAATGCAGTTATGGATATTGTCGTATTCATCTCGAATATACCGTTCATGTGATAACCTGTTGACTTCTAAGTCTAATTAATCATTGGTCACGGTATGTGTGTATCTACGACGTTGAACTATTCCAAATATTTCTACGATTCCATAGAAATTTTTTTCATTGTACGCATCATTTCTCACTTACAAATTTGAACAAAACAGAGAGAGAGAGAGCGATTGCAACAGGATTGCTAAATGAATTAATCACGCATTCACTTTATCGGCATTCCAATTGTGAACAGACGTCGTCACCCAATCATCTTTCTTCGTTTTGCAATATATTAGCAAAAAATAAAAACAATCAAAAGTTAGTTATGAAGTTATTTCTATCCGCATGTGAATATAATGGAAGTTGCTTTCGTTCTCATCTTTAAAATGTGTGTGTACTGAATAAATTTCAGTGAGGGCAACTGCCTTCCGACGAATACCATAGTGATGTTAATACAACTCACATTTATATCAATGAGTTTACACACGCATAGCACCAGGTCAAGACGTGATTAAATCGAACTCCAACTTGGGTGTGACATGATATACTATAACAGTAAGATATCCAAGCAGGGTTCATTTACTAAGCAAATGTTGTGAGGTCATGTGTAATTGAGTTTTCGTATCACTAGCATTGCACGATTTGTCAGGAATTATTTTTATTCTGGATTCAAATTAAGAATGTTAAAGGCCTTCATGAAATAGTTGTTTTTGCATTCAATAATGTTCATAGTCTCGATAACAGAAAAGATTGCGCTGTCTATATTTTTAGGATGCCTGAACAAATGTAACAAAAGAACAGTTGTTTAACCAAATAAAGCACTGAATAAAACTTCTATTTATAAGATAATATGCTCTCAAATATGAATACTTCTCTTCGAATGGAAAAGTAATAGGACTGGTGGTTTGTCACATAATATTTCGAAGTTGAAGATTACTCTTAGATTTATTTACTCGTTCACAAAATAGCCCATTGTAAGCGCCTCTGAGAAGTCGAACACAATTTATTATCAAGAGAAATAATCCAACTTTGCATGTGCTAATCACACTTAGTCAATTTCATTGTTAGCTTTTGTCAGTTTCATATGCTTGATTTTTTGTCATACTGACAGGCATCCATACTAGATAAATATGTGTGTGAGAGAGAGAGAGAAAATATTGTTTTGGACCATTGCTCTTTGTAAACAGTTTACGATTTGAACTAATCAAATTTCCGTGGATCTACTCAAGAATATATTTATATTAACTGTTGAACTGGATCCGTTTGTTTCCCTTTACAAGCTGTTTGGTGTGAAGAATATTATTTTTCGATTTGCTACAGTAGAGATGCTATAATGTGCGAAATATATTGCAATTTTGAGTATTCTTAGATAGTATGATAAACTACCTCAATTGAAACTAATAATGATGGTTTCTCAATTTCCAGTTATAAAAATAAAAAGCATGACTTATTTTTTTTGTTACTGGAGTACGATTTTATTCCTCCTGAAAACCGTTGGATTCCTGAATATTTTTTGTTATCGTATAATTAACCGAAGTCTGGTTCTGTCATTAATTTTCCTTGTAAGATTTAAGGTTAGCTCACTTGTCATATCTTTGCTCTTTCGGGATGATTAATACAGGGATAAGGGTTCCTGCCAAGTGAAACGATCGCTGACAAGGATAGAACTTAAATCACATCTCAAGATGGACGGCTGGAACATCAGGCAGAGTACCTTGGGTCGCAGTTCAGTTTGCTACAATCTAACTTAATCTTGAACAGAATGTAGATGTTGGTCCTCAAATTTTATATAAGGTTGCAAATGCTGTTTCTAAACTAAAATGAAGTTAATCAACAGGGTACAGCGGCTTGTCCTCAGAAGTATTGAAGGAGAGCGATTATGGATTGCTGACCGTATGAATTAAGACGTTCAATAGTGTATACTTAACAGACCGACCGAAAGCTGCTACCTTGACGTGGTGGTCGGGCTTGAACACCGCAATGATCTATTCAAGCTATACTGGCTGAGACTTATGTCTCTTGAGGTCTACCATGCCAGGCAGGTTGTTTGGATAGCGGTTAAACAAAAAGCAGCTACCCAATCCAACATCATGTTCAATACAAAATCACAAAATTTCATGCCGGATCGGCCGTGGCCCGGATTAACAACGACCGCGCTTCCTGCTGCCGTGTCACAGGGCAGGAGTGATAAATATGCTACTGAGGCACACAAAACAAAAAGAACAAACAAAAACAGGCCGCGTGTGACCGGCCTCAAGCAGTTGTCCCCTGGGCTCTGCGGTCACGCAACCAACTTCCACGGTGTGGGCAGCCGGGAAGTAACAATCGCCCTCACAATCCGAAATGCACACGAAACCTCTCTATTACTCACTCATCTTTGTTTTCATCTCTATCATCTTGCCTTCCTTCCACTGATGCAACTCCTCGACTTGATAGCTCTCCACTTCCTCTCCACTCTGCGTCCACTAAAAACGATGGAAGCCAAAAAACCACCACCGACAGCCTCTTAAAGCCGCGCCACCAATTTCATATAGGAGCTCTTAATGTTAGGACACTTTGCCAAATAGGACAACAAGCATCACTAGCCAAGACCCTGGCATCACGAGCCATTGATGTATGCTGTGTTTCAGAAACACGCATACAAGACCCAAGTGTGGTTATTCACCTAACCCCACCTGGCCAACAGGTTGAATCTGCAAAATTCACCTTGAGGGTGTCAGGAGATGCCACAGCTAGTTCACGAGGATTAGCTGGCGTAGGGATAGCTTTGAGTACTAGGGCAGAAAAGACATTGCTTGACTGGATCCCGGTAGATAGCCGAATGTGTGCTGTCCGTCTGAACGGATCAGTAAGAAGGAGAAGGACTGCACTACTCGCCGATGCCTTTTCGTAATCTCCGCCTACGCCCCCACTGACTGCAGTTCAGATGAAACGAAGGATGAGTTCTACCAAAAGCTGTCTAGTTTGTGTGAAAGGCTAAACGCTCAGACATAGTCGTTCTAGCTGGTGACTTTAACGCTCAAGTAGGGAAATTGTGTCAATCTGAGAAGGATGTCGGTGGCACCTATGGAGTTCCGTGCCAGCGAACCGACAACGGTGACCGTCTCCTACAGTTCTGCTCTGATAATCATTTGTTTCTTGTAAGCACTAACTTCAAACACAAGGAGAGACACTGTTTGACTTGGAGACCCCCTTCATCAAACCAACGCTGGACACAAATAGACCACATAGCAATAAGCTATCGTTGGCGTGGGTCGGTAGGAGATTGTCGCTCCTTCTGGAACACGTGCGTAGATACCGACCATGCACTGGTCCGCGCTCGGGTGTGCTTACGACTGAACGGACGTAGGAAACAGCTGGCGGTAAAACCATCACGTCCCCAGCTCGATCAGGAAACTAAATCCGTATTTGAGGAAGAACTAGCTAAACACATATCTGTGTTCGACAGCTGTGCTCACCCTGAAGAAGCTTGGAAAAATATCCAGGCAGCCATAGATACAGCTGTAAAAGCTGTGAATAAGGTAAACCCAAAGGTGAGTAAAAACCACTGGATCTCCACCGCCTCATCCGAACTGATAGATGCTAGAAGACTTATTCCGGCGAGCTCCGAATTCAATGAGGAGCGAAAGCTGCACAAGAGGAAACTTACGAAAAGTCTCCGCAAGGACCGTGAACAGTGGTGGGCGACAAAAGCCAAAGAGATGGAGAAAGCTTCGAGGATAGGCAACACCAGGCAACTCTTTAGACTCATCAGGGAAACGGGTGGGAGAAGACAAATCATTAGTGAGACAATCTCGGAAAAAATGGCACTATAATTAGCTCCCAGGATAGACGACTGGATCGTTGGAAAGAGCATTATGAGGAGCAGTTTAATTTGCCCACAGCCACGCTCAACCTTCCGAGCATCCAACACCTCCCTGAATGGGATATAGACACAGGTCCTCCGTCACTAACTGAGGTTACTAAAGCTGTCACCAATCTGAAACTAGGCAAAGCAGCGGGACCTGATGGAATGACTCCAGAGGTATTTAAGTACGGTGGAGACAGCTTACTGTCTGGATTAACTGAGGTACTAGGCAGCGTCTGGGAATCAGAAGAAGTCCCATCGGGTTGGTGTAAGTCACTGATTATCCCCATATACAAGAAGGGAGACAAGTCTTCCTGTGATAATCACAGAGGGATTAGCTTGACTAATATAGTATCTAAAGTCTTAGGCTCAATAATCATGCGTAGACTGAGTGGTGCTCGGGAAGCACAAACACGAGAGAGCCAGGCAGGCTTTAGACCAGGAAGAGGGTGTATTGATCATATCTTCACCCTCCGACAGATTCTAGAACATAGGCATTCCTACCGGCGTCCAACAGTCATTATATTTCTTGACCTAAAGGCAGCATTCGACTCTGTCGATCGGGAAGTTCTCTGGAGATGCTTGGCTGTAAAGGGAATTCCGAGAAAATATATTGCACTGATTAAGGCACTCTACTCGTACTCATACAGCCAGGTGAGGGCTTACGGCGAGCTGTCATCTGAACTGATGACGACCAGTGGTGTCCGTCAAGGATGCCCATTATCTCCTTTTCTATTCAACTTCATCATAGATGTGTTAATGGACTTAACCCTAGGTGACTTCAGCGACTCAGGGATTGACTTGCTACCAGGGAATAATCTCGTTGACTTGGAATATGCAGACGATATAGTCCTTCTAGGCGAAGACGCTGACGAAATGCAGAGTCTTCTAAACACCTTGAGCCGCAATCTACGAATGTTTGGCATGCGATTCGCTCCCGCCAAATGCAAGATGATGTTACAGGACTGGACTACATCGACGCCTAGTTTAAAAATAGGAAGTGAAGTGGTAGAGCACGTTGACCGCTTCACTTATTTGGGAAGTACCATCAGCCCCAACGGGCTGATCTCTGACGAAATCTCAGCACGAATACAAGGGGCTCGTTTCGCATTTGCCAGTTTACGCCGACTCTGGCGTAGACGAGATGTTCGACTATCGACCAAAGGGCGGGTGTACTGCTCATCAGTCCGCTCCGTCCTCCTTTATGGTTGTGAGACCTGGCCACTGAGAGTGGAAGACATGAAAAGACTAGCTGTCTTTGATCATAGGTGCCTGCGTTCTATTTCCCGTGTAAAGTGGCATAATAAGGTGAGCAACATTGAGGTTAGGCGTAGAGTTCTAGGTAAACAGGGGAAATCAATCGACGAAGTCGTGAAGCTACAAAGACTGAGATGGTTAGGACATGTGTTACGTATGCCAAGCCATCGCCTCCCTCGACGAGCAATGTTAGCGGATATAGGGTCAGGCTGGAAAAAAGCTAGCGGCGGTCAAACAAAAACTTGGCATCAGTCAATGAAATCCACAACAGTTGGTCTAAGCCACGTAGGAAGGTGTAGACTTCCAGGCTGGGGTCCTCGGGACGGTAAAAATCTATGGTTGGAAACAATTGGTGACATGGCTCAAAATCGTTCTCAGTGGCGCAGATGCATCCACTCCTTGTGACTTATGATCTCCAATGAAACTGTTTTGTTCTTCTTTATTACTCCTTTGTCTCACACCTCTGCTCACTGTTTCTATTATGCTTTTCTTGTACTTTCTTCTCTTGCTTCGCGTGCTACACGGAGTGTGGCGACTTGAACTTCCGCACATTTGTGCAAAGTTCTATGTCGAAAACAGACAGACAGTATACTTAACAGGGAAACAGGTGAAAAAAGGCAAATTATAAGTGAGACAATCCCTGAGAAAAATGGCACCATAATTGCGTCTCAGAATAGAAATAGAACGTTGGAAAGAACACTGAGGAGCAATTTAATTGGCTTACAGCCACTCTGAACTTACCCAGCATCCAACAACTTCCTGAATGGGATATAAACACAAGTCCTCCGTCCCTAACTGAGGTTAAAAAAGCTATCAGTAGTCTGAAACAAGGCAAAGTAGCGGGACCTGATGGAATGACTACAGAGGTACTCAAGGACGATGGACACAGTTTATCGTCTGCGTTAACTAAGATATTAGACAACACAGCGTCTGGGAATCAGAGGAAGTCCTGTCGGGTTGGTGTAAGTCATTGTTTATCCCGATATACAAGAAGAGAAACAAGTCTTCGTGTGATAACGACATGGGGTTTAGCTTGACTAATATGGTATCTAAAGTTCTAGGCTCAGTAATAATGCTTAGACTAAGCGGTTCGTTTAGCAAACACCAACCTGTGCCACCTCTGGCGTAGACGGGATATCCGGCTGCCGAC